TTTTTAAATCTTTTTTCAGGTTAAATAAAGTTTGTTCTACACTCAATTTCTTATTAGCCCAAGTACTTACATGAGAGCTGAGGGGATTTTACCATTTTTGTAGAGATCAAAATACAAGCCAGATTCTGATTTTTTCAGGGGAAATGCTGGGTAGGGACATGAACTAAAAAAAAAACAAACAAGTGTATGAATCTGTGAGAACCTTCCAAAATTGACTTGGTCTAGGTAAACCAAGAACTTCGCAGCCATGGCTCATGTATTAACCTGGAGTATGCTGTTGGTAAAAGATCTTACTCCCACCACTGGACACTCATAGCACAAAAAACAGAGTGATAGCTATAAACATTGGACCCAAAGCACTTTAAGGATCTCCGATTATATGTGCTAAGCACTGGAGATACAAAGAAAAGTATGTCAGTTCCTGTTCTCAGGAGCTCACAGTCTAATGAGTCTTGAGAAACTCACTTGGTCAATGGAGAAGGGGGAGGGGACCCTCTTTCTGGGCTTCCCTTAACCCCTACCTTGCTGCCCTCTGCTACAGGAGAAACTCTGCTTTTTGAAAAGTGATCCAGAAGCTTGACAAAGCAGTTGAAATGTCCTTACAGGAATGCCTGTCAGAGAGGGAGAGAGAGAGACTTTATTATGCACTTTCTGTGTGATAGAGACTATAATAAGCGCTAGGGATGTAAATACAAGCACATATAACATTCTCTGCTTTCAAAAAGCTTACATTCTAATGGGGGCAAACTACAGATAGGGGTGCTGAAAATTAGTGGGGAGAAGAGTAGCCAAAGTCAAGCCAAAGAGGAAATAGAGATCAGGTGAAAAGGAGGTGGAATATGGCTGGGGTCCTTCCTAAAATACAGTTTCTTCATCTGATTTCATCCAGTGGCTGAAAGTACTTTATTCCTCACACCTATTTACACATTTGATTGTTAATAATTGATTCAATAGAGGTGCCTAGTTTGTTCATACCTAGTTTAAATATTTAATTCTCACCTAATAAAGCTATCAGGGCTTAGAGAATCTTGTTATTTAACCTTAATTGGGGTTGAAGGTGTGAAACATCTTTCTTACAAAAGTTTAAAATAAGAATGAAAGGATAATGAGGATACAAGCTACTAATCTGTCAAATGGAATAAGGAGAGTCAAGCTTTCAGAATATAATTTTGTATATTTGAACTGAATATTCTTCCAGTAGTTAAAAGTTAATGATAGCAAAGATACCATAATCACCAGGAGGCATTACTGACAAAGTATCTAAACCTAGTCAGTGATGAGTCAAGGAATATCAATCCCATGTTCATTCTAGTGGTTCTATACTTCACCCAGAACCAGAGGACACTCAGGAGCGTCACCCAGCTCTCGCTGCCTCTCAGAAAGCTGACTACTTCTCTCCCTCAGTACATGGTATAGTGGAAAGAACATTGGATTTGGAGGCCAAGAAATATGGTTTCAAATCCCAGGTCTACCACTTCCTGCTTGTGTGACTGTGGGCAAGACATTTATTTCCCATCTTTCCTCTTCTGAAAATGAAGAGATTGGACTGAATGACCTCTAAAGTCACTTTGAGATCTAAATTTATCATTCTGTGATACTACTAACCACTACAAGAACTGGGCACTGGTAACTCCTTTCTCTCTACACAAACCGAAACCAAGAGCTCAAATACAACAGGAGCTCAGATTCAACCCTCCCATTTTTCTGTAAGCAAACCAAAAAGCAAGTGGTTCAAAGAAACGCAGTCCAGGTGATTACCTGAACAGAAGCATACTACACCTATGCCATAACCCCTCACCACAGGAAGAAAAAGGTTTTGTATGGTCTGAAGTTCTGAGCTGGATCCTACCCTGAGATATTTCCCAGTTCTTTTCCTCATTTGCTGCTCTAATACTGGCAGGGAGCTTGAATTCTACCACAATCCTCCCTCCCCTCCCCCTAACTGCATCTAAGCTTTGCTCACTTACTGGGCTGTATAGTGAAATGAAAATTTCCCTAGTTGGGTTCACATCCTGCATCGCTTCACCTGCGTTGTCATTTGCCAATAATTCAAACTCCCTTTACTCTTTGGCTCTTTCCATAATTTTCCACAATTGTAAAAAAACTCGACAAAGCTTTTCAGTTGGGCCTGTCCTGAGAAAAAGGCCTGCAAGCTCGGTCTCTCTTCCTTTTTTCCTCCCTACTTTCCTATTCTTGTTATAGGGAAGAGGTAGAGCAGAGCAAGGAAATGTATGGTATCAATAATAATGCACAAAAACATTAAACAATTTTTAAAAAATAAAAAAACAATAATGCACAAATATGTGGGATTTTATGACTTACAAAACCCTCATATACATCATCTCATTTGATGCTCAAAATAACCTTGTAAGGAAAGTAGTATAATTCCTTGTTATGAGGGTACTCTCCCAAACTCACAGAGTAGGTTCCCAAGATTAGGATGTCTCAGGTTTATAATATCTCTGGACCTGTATCCATTAAAACCATTGCCACAAGCCCCCATTGATGTGTTTACCTTTAATAGCCAGAGGAGAAAATTAGTTCAAAGCAGAAGTATTTAATGAGATAATATAAATTTATTGATGTGTACAATAAATCTTATACATTTTCACATCTTTTAAAAAACTTTCAAAGTGTAGTGTTTCCTTGTTTGGCTACAATCACTTGCTTTACATGATTTGGCACTGAAACACCTACTCTTTAATTATTCATAATGAAACTACATATATTGCATATTAAACATTTCTGTGATGAACAATCCCTTTTTCCAAAATTAACCATGATTATTATAGCTTATGGGTTTTTAATGTGGTTCAGATCAGGTGAGCCCTCTGTCTACTAGATCATGTTCCTCTGTCTCTTAGATAAATTTCTTAACCTTTCAAGATATGTGATGTATGATATGGTAAGAAGCTATGTTGTATTGAATCTAATTCCCACTATATACGCCAAACGCTGCCCCTTCTCAGCTTTTGCTCATATGTGTGCCTCACCTGAAATTGCTTCCCTTCTTCCACTCCTTCCCCCTTTGCCCAGATGTATCACAATAATTCACTGACTATTTTAGTGCACAGAGTCTCTTTGAACCTATCTCTTAATGACTTATAATAATTATTTCACGATTTATCACTTAATTGTGATGTTAGTGTTTCACTTGCTAAATTTATCTCCCCAAGTAGATCACAAGCTTCTTAACAGATTGTGGGGTCTAGTGGAAATGGTTGTGAATTTGGAATATGAAAAGCCTGGGTTCATAACCCATCTCCAGCATGCACTTGTGTGTGACCCTAGGCAAATCACTTCACTTCTCTGAAAGTGTCAGTTCCTCATCTGTGAAAGTGGAGATAATGACAGCCATAGTACCAACCTCACAGAACGTCTGTGAGGTTCAAATAAGAGAATGTACGTAAAGTACTTTGAAAATCTTTAAGTTCTGTGTAAAAATCAGCTATCATTATTATTATTGTAGGTATATTGACAATGGTGGTGGTGATGATATAACAGATGTTAAAAACCAATTTGCATAAGACTTTCTTTACCGGTAGAGATTTATTACCCAATTGTGCAAGTATGCTTAAGGAGCAACGTTGGAAGAGGAGAGATCTTGATATTTTGGCTTTCGGCTTCAAGGAAGAAAACATACAATGTTCCAAATGCTCTTCAGAGAGAGAACTCTGAAGGGAGAGAGACTTTGTAGAAGAGCCAACACATCCATCATGTCCCTGACTCCATAGTCTTTACCTCTTTGCAGGTTCCTCTCCCTAAAGAGAATCTGGAACAATACTGAAAGCAGAAGCTACATCGTCTGTCTCACTTTGGATCCTCTTAGTGCCTTGCTTGTTGTGAGACACATAGTGGGCAGTCAGAGAGATTAATTAACCCCTCCCCAAAACATCATATGCTCATTATTCACTGGTAATATTTGATTTCTAAAAACTAGCCCTAAGAAATAATACAGTATTTACCATTTGTTCCCCAGAATTAAAAATGTTATGCAAAATACCACCCAAAATAAATGTGAAGAGATGCTTTCAGAAATATTCAAAATACTGTCATCTCCTCAGAGAGTTGGAAGAGAGCATCTTTGCTTTTTTAGCTATGTCTTTCTTTTCTTTATTTTATCTGATGTGGTGATTTATATTAATATATTGAAGGTCACATTTTCTGGGCTACCAGAATTGGTATAACTGAGGCCTATTTGTGTGTACACACATCTGACAACTGAATGCATGCTTGCCCGCTTTGCAAATGCAAATTAAGGTCTTGTGCATGCAAAAGCCATGGACACTTTAAAATGTCAACTATTCGTTATGTAAAATGATATATTTAGCTTTCTCAGATGTCATGATTTTGAAGTTGCAAGACACAACCAAAACCATTCACAGAAATAACTCTCACATGAAGCTTTGGAATGCTCTGGAGTGTATAACATATGCTTAGTGAAAGAGAATTCAGCTGACTAAAACTTATGCATATTTTTAAGTAAGAGATGATAATATAAATAGCTTCATAAGATGTGGGGACTGGATCCTGTATTTCTTGCTTTGGCACAATTTGTGCTGACTTTCATAAGGGTTATGTTCCCATGAAGTAAGGAAGCATACAGTGAAGCCAAATTGTATCTTTATTAGGATGAGAAGATGGCTTTCAGCAAATATAACCAGAGGAGAGGGATAATTTTGAAACCAAGCCTCATACAATATTCATCTTAGCAACTGCTTTTGGTGGAAAATCAATATTATTATGATAATAATGCATCCACAGATATTCTAGAGCTAGAAATAAATCATAATTTCATATTTTGACCCAAGATAATCAAGCAATTTCTTAGTTTAAAAAAAAACCAACAGAAAAGTGTTACTTGGTGCAATGAAGGTCTTTGGTTTTTGATTCAATAGCATTCTTTCTCTCTCTTCCAGAAATGCATTTGAAACAAACTTTAACTTTAGAGTTAATATTGCTAGATTTCATGTATTCTCTCTGGTTTTTCTTGCTTCTAGACACAGCCCAAGGGCTCAGAATGGTCAGACTCTATGGCCTGTGTCATAAAGAAGTTAGAGCAGCTAAATTTAGATATTGAAGAAGCTCTCAGCGCTGGCTCTTCCCCTTCTCATACTCCTTCTTTCAAAAGGCGCAAACAACAGGTAAGATTACTTTGATTTTATTAAATATGGTCTGTTCAATTCAACAAAGATGAATTCAATAAATATTGCATTAAGGCATTGCTCTAAAAGGTGTTAGAACTAAAAAGATGGAAAACAACATAGTCCCTGTCCTCAAGAAGCTTATAGTCTGGTAATTATTGCATGGTAAATGTAAATCATGCCAGAAGGAACTTTGATTTAGGTTAGGATCTCAGATATTCTGTACTTCTTGGGTGAAAAAGAAATTGGTAAATGCATGCTTAGATTTTGTAATGGGAGCTTTGGTGATAGAGAAAACTTCTTAGAATTTCTCAGACAAAACAAGTGGTAAGCAAAGTAACGTCTTCCTTTGGGAGACATAACAAAATAGGTAAAATATTTGCAGTACTTTGAAGAACTAGGATCCAGAAAGTTTTTTTTAATTGAATGAATTAGCCTATAAAATATTTTATTAAATATGTTTAAAAATCTCTCAATCCATTTTTTCACTGAAATGTGGTATATGCTGCTTTACAAAGAAGGAAACTCCAAGTTTTAAAACCAAGTCCTAAAACTCCAAGTCTTAAAATTTAACTTAATTCATGAAACCTTTGGACAAACCTGGTGGTATATAATTTACACCTAGGATTGTGAAAATTCAACAGGGCATGGAAAGGTTTTGGCAACATTTTTCCATAAGGCACTAGATGAAGATTTTATAATATGACACAAAAGCAAACTTTTGGTAAGCACCGGCTGTGTGTAGAATACCATCCCTAGTGTGGACAGATTCCACATGCAATCAAAGGTTAGATCAGATACAGTCCCTGTCCTTGAGGAACAGCTTCAGTCAGTCTAGTAGAGGTATGAAACAAACACAAAGAGCTGGTTCAAGTGTAGCAAATGTGAAAATAGAAAGAAAGGGATGAGTTTGAGAGATTTCGTGGAGATTGAATCAACAGGACATCATAATGTGTTTAAAACAAGAGGAGAGGGAGCAAAAGAAGTCAAAGATTCATTTTGACATTTCAGTATCCAACATTCCATTTCTGAACTTTGGCCATTTTCACTAGTTGTCCCCCATGCCTAGAATGGTCTCCCTCCTCATCTCCTGGCTTCTTTGGCTTCCTTCAAGTCTCAGCTAAAGTCCAACCTTCTGCAAGAAACATTTACTGGTCCTCCCTAATCCTAGTGTTTTCCCTCTGTTGATTATCCATTGATTTATACTGTATAAATCGTTGTGGTACATGTTTTTTTTTTGTTTTCTCCCCCATTAGACAGTGAACTCCTTGAGACCTAGGACTGTTTTCCCCCACTTTGTTTGTATCTCCAGAGCTTAGCACAGTGTCTAACTGGTATGTAATGGTTGCTTTATAAATGCTTGTAGACTTGACTTGAATTTACTAAGTACTTAGTATGTACAAGGCATCATGCTATAATCTCAAAAGTACGAAAATGAAAGGTAACAACATGAACAAAAATAGTGAACTCAGAAGGTGGAAAAGGTTTACAGAGAAAGGTAATGAGCAATGACATAAAATTTGGACCTGTTGAGTTTGATATTTAGATCCTATAGGCAATTGGTCAACCCAGAAGACATATATTTGGGAGTCATCTGCACAGAGATGATAATTGATGTCCTTGGATTGAATAAAATTGCCCAGAGAGAATATATATAGAGAAAAGAAGGACAAAGACAAATACAAAATGAGATAAAGAACATATTTTTATGGGGATAGCATAGTGGAAAATATGATGGTCTTGGAGTCAAGAAACCTATGTTCATATCCTGGCTCTAATACTTATTAGTTGTGTGACTCTGAGGTCTCACAATTTAGCCTCCCTGAGACTCACTTTCCTCCTCCATTCAATGGACATACTTGTATTTCCTGCGACACACATAGGAAAGGGTTTTGTAAACTTTTAAAAAAAACTATATGAATGTTAATCATCTCATAATTTGATATATTTTTATAAATCAAAATGGTACTCAATCATATATTTGAGAGTTGGAAAGGACCTCAGCCTCTGTCTGGTTCAATCCACATCAACATATATTACAAGTGGTAATATAGCTTCTGCTTGAAGACCTCTCTATATGAGAAGCCCACTACCTTTTGAGACAACCCATTCCACTTTGGGGCAGTGATAATTGTTGGGAAGTCTTTTCTGACATGGGTGGCACAGTGAATAGAGTGTTAGGCCTGGAATTAGGAAGACCCAAATTCAAATCCAGCCTCAGATACTTACTGGGGCCATACAGAACAAGTTGAATCTCTCCTCAACATGGAATTCTTTAAAATACTCAAACACAGCTGTCATGTTACCTGGGTCTCTTCTTCTCCAGGTTAAACATTCCCAGTTCTTTCAAGTCACTCTATAAGGCATGGACTCAAGAATATTGACATCTTGGTTGCACTTTTCTGGACGTTCTCCATATAATCAATGTCCTTCTTAAACTATGATGCTCCAAAATGAAAATAATACTCCACTTAGGCCTAAGGAAGGCAGAGTATATTGGAACTATCATTTCTGTATTCCTAGAAAGTATATCTCTTTTAGTGCAGCTCAAAATCGTATTTGTTTTTTGGCCACCACATCACACTGCTGACTAAGAGTAAGCTTGCATTCCACTAAAACCTCCAGATCTTTTTCAGAACAACCATTGTCTAACCATGCGTCCCCTATTTTATCTTGTGCAGTTGATTTTTTTAATACTCAAGTATAAGACTCTTCGTTTATCTCTGACAAATACCATATTAATAGATTTATTCAATGGCTGTAGCCTTTGAATATCTTTTTGGAGCCTGGTTCTATTATTGTTCAGTGTTTTAGCTGACCCTCCCAAGCTAACCTTTTCTCTCCTCTTCCTCTCAATATAACTTAAAAAAAACCTTTTTATTGTCTTTAGTTTCACTTGCCAACCTCAGCTCATTCTGAGCTTTGGCACTCCTGATATTATTTTATTTTATTTCGTTTCATTTCATTTTTACTTTTATTAATTTATTTTGATTTATCGACAATCACTTCCATAAGCTTTTGAGTTTTAAATTTTTCTCCACCTTCCCAACATGGCCCGCAATCTGATGTAGGCTCTACATATACATTCCTATTAAACATATTTTCACATTAGTCATGTTGTAAGGAAGAATTAGAACCAATATAAGGAACCACAAGAAAGAGGAAATAAAACAAAACAGAAGAAAAAAAAGAGCAAATAGTATGCTTTGATCTGTATTTAAATTCCACTATGGACGTGGATAGCATTTTCCATCATGAGGCTTTTGGAGATGTCTTAGATCTTTGCGTTGCTGAAAAGGCCTAAGTATATCAAAGTTAGTCATCACATAACATGACTGTTACTGTGTACAACATTCTCCTGGTTCTGCTCACTTCACTCAGCATCAGTCCGTACAAGTATTTCCAGGTTTTTCTGAAGTCTACCTTATTTCTTATAGCACAACAGTATTCCCTTACATTCATATACCATAACTTGTTCATCATTCCCCAATTGATGGACATCCCTTCAATTTCTAATTCTTTGCCACCACAGAAAGAGCTGGTATAAATATTTTTGTACATGTGAGTCCTTTTCCCATTTTTATGATCTCTTTGGGATATAGCCCTAAAAGTGCTATTGTTGGGTCAAAGGGTATGCACATTTTTATAGCCCTTTGGGCATAGTTCCAAATTGCTTTCCAAAATGTTTGGATCATTTCACAACTCCACCAACAATGCATTAGTGTTCCAGTTTTCCCACATCTTCTCCAACATTTGTCATTTTCTTTTTTTGTCATGTTGGCCAACCTGATAGGTGTGATGTGGTACCTCAGAGTAGTTTTGATTTGCATTTCTCTGATCAATAGTGATTTAGAGCATTTTTTCATATGACTATAGATGGCTTTAATTTCTTCATCTGAGAACTGCCTATTCATATCCTTTGACCATTTATCAATTGGGGAATGACTTGTATTCTTATAAATTGGACTTAGTTCTCTATATATTTTAGAAATGAGGCCCTTATCAGAGACACTGTTTGTAAAAATTCTTTCCCAGTTTTCTGCTTCTCTCCTAATCTTGGTTACATTGGCTTTGTTTGTGCAAAAACTTTTTAATTTCATCAAAATTATCCATTTTGAATTTCATAATGTTCTCTATCTCCTGTTTGGTCATGAATTCTTCTGTTCTCCATAAATCTGATAGGTAAACTATTCTTTAGGTAAACTATTCTTTGCTCTCCCAGTTTGCTTACAGTATCAGCCTTTACATCTAAATCATGAACGCATTTTGACTTTATTTTGGTATATGGTGTGAGATTTTGATCAATGCCTAGTTTCTGCCATACTCTTTTCCAGTTTTCCCAGCAGTTTTTGTCAAAGAGTGAGTTCTTATGCCAGAAGCTGGGGTCTTTGGGCTTATCAAATAATAGATTACTATAGTTATTGACTACTGTTTCTTGCATACTTAACTTATTCCACTGATCCAGCACTCTATTTCTTAGCCAGTACCAAGCAGTTTTGATGATTGCTATTTTATAATACAATTTAAGATCTGAAATGGCTAGGCCACCTTCCCCTGCATTTCTTTTCATTAGTTCCCTTGATATTCTGGACCTTTTGTTCTTCCAAATGAATCTTATTATTTTTTCTAACTCTATAAAATAATTTTTTGTAGTTTGACTGGTGTGGCACTGAATAAGTAAATTAGCTTAGGTAGAATTGTCATTTTTATTATAGTAGCTCGGCCTATCCATGAGCAACTGATGTTTTTCCAATTATTTAGATCTGACTTTATTTGAGTGAAAAATGATTTGTTGTTTGACCCAATCATTTTTTAGGATTAGATTATTTAGTTTCCAATTATTTTTTAGTCTATCTTTCCATGGCCCTTTATTACACATAATTTTTATTATATCGTGATCTGAAAAGGATACAGTTAATGTTTCTGCCTTTCTGCATTGGATTGTGAGTTTTTTATGCCCTACTACATGGTCAATTTTTATGTATGTGCCATGTACTGCT